ACAAAATACTAAAGAGATTGAAAACAAGGCATGTCTTATCCAAAGCATTCCAGACTCCTCTATAAAAGAATGAGTCTGAAATACTTTGGAGGAGGTATCTGTAGGCGTCAAAAAATACCTATAGGTATCCGAACACGGCTCGAGACAGAGAGAAGATAATGAATGTCATCATTTGAGTTAAACGAGATCATTCAAGATCGTATAGAAGCTAACGAGCGCATGAAGCAAGTCAGCGAGGCGTACAAGTCAACAAAATGACAAAAGACGCAAAACGACAGAAAATACAAGCCCGGAAGGCCAAAAATGACTAAGTCCCGAACTCCCGCGCCCCCGCGGGACACCATTTGGTGTCCCGCGCTCCCGCATGACGCGGGGACACCACTTGGTGTCCCGCGCCCCCGTGGGACACCAGAGTCTGCCTCGCGCGCCAACTGCCCGAAAACGCGTTTTTTGATATTTTCTCACGATTTGTTCATTTTAGAGCTTTCTAACTGATTGGATATTATCCACAAACATGGTTAGGCCGTTGTCAACTAAAAATATGACCAAATCTCTCACTCTTATCTAAATACCCCAGATCCGGAGCCCTATAAATACAAGCCTAGGGTCTCCTTTCAGAGGGGGCGGAATTTTATCAAGACGAGGAGGTGATGCCGAGTTGGAGAGCAAGGGAGCACGAATTTCAGAGGAGGCTAACTAATCTCGGCAAAGCTCTTCAGCATAAATAGAGAGAATTCGAGAGATCTGAAGCCCCGTCCGTCTGTTCCTCGTGATTAGGCTTGGTCTTAATCTCGAGAAGAGCTACTGATTTCGCTTGGTCGATTTCAGAGCTTCAAGCGAATACTTCCTTGGTGAAGTAGGAGCTCTGTCAATTTTCTGTCAACCGGATCCGATCCGTAGGCGGTCCACGAATAAACCCCGGCACATGCAAAGATCCCACGTAAAACAGCGATTAATAAATAAGATCTATGTGTAGTTTGACAAGAGTTATAATTTTTATTTTTATTGTGCAAGGAGATCTTATAAAAAGATCGACTTTTCTCTTTATTTGAGTTTATTATAAAGACTAAAGTTGTAATAGATTTGAAGCAATAAAAACATCAACTCTTGACCCCAAACACAACCAAAACGTTCACAATCGCTTTTCAACGCTTACCGACAAACGTTTACAACACACACAATGTAAACACACTCTACACCTCTAAGTGTTGGCCTAGCATGTGTCCTCTTCCTCAAGTGCTCGGATTTACAACCTCTCACTAGGCTATATAACCGACACCACTACTCTTGGAATCAACCTCGTCTCACACCAACCACTCCTCTACGTGTACAAGTATAATATGTGTAACTCACAATAAGGCTCAAATACAAATGATTTGTTCTCTAATGGATGAGAACACAATGTAGCTCACTCTCACAATATCACAATCACACTACCCAATATGTAATGTATAAAATACTAAAATCTCAAATAGGGATGTGTATGATAAAATGAGTTCAAATAAAATCTAACTCAAACAATAAACTAGCAATGATATAAATATGAAAATCAAGAATAAAATGCTAGGTAAATGAGTTAGGAAAACTTCTCTGTAAACACAAAGAGTAGGATGAAATTGATTGAGGATGAATTCCTCAAACGATGATGTAAGCTTCCTCTTTGAAACACAAAGAGTAGGATGAAATTGATTGAGGATGAATTCCTCAAACGATGATGTAAGCTTCCTCTTTGTAAACAAAAACCAAACTTAAAAAGAAACAGAGGATGAATTCCTCAAACGATGATGTAAGCTTCCTCTTTGTAAACAAAAACCAAACTTAAAAAGAAACATAAACGATCTCTTAAACACTTTAAAACACTTGTTAAAATCCTCTCTAATGATTTTAGAAGTGAAACGGCTAAATACCCATATTGGTATTTTAATTCCACCCCAATTTCCAACAAGGTATTTTAAATAGGCAAACCTGCTTTAAGACATTTTAATTGATCCAACTAACCAATAAGGCATGGTTTCTTGTCGGCGGGCAAATTTTCGGCGAGATCTCATCACGTGCATGGCACATGATGTCTCAAAACTCGTTTTTAGCAGTGGCAACGGCAACAATCTCGTCATATTTAGCCGATTCGATAGGGTTAGCGATCTCAGGCGACGTCATAACCGTTATTTTATCCTACTTTGGGATGAATATGACGAGATTGTTGCCGTCGCCGCTGCTAAAAATGAGTTTTGAGACATCACGTGCCATGCACGTGACGAGATCTCATCGGAAATTTACCTACCGACGAGAAAACATGTCTTATTGATTAGTTGGATCAATTAAAATGTCTTAAAGCGGGTTTGCCTATTTAAAATACCTTGTTGGAAATTGGGGTGGAATTAAAATACCAATATGAGTATTTAGCCGAAGTGAAACAATAAGGGGTATTTATAGGATAAAAAACCAAAGCCCAAAAACCCAGAAAACCCAGCAAAAGGATAAAAAACAAAAACCTAGAAAAACTAGCCGTTACAGACGTCAGTCGACTGATATTGTTCATCAGTCAACTGATGAGCTAACCGTTACAGGCACCTAGCTGCTCATCGGTCGACTGAAGATCTCATTAGTCAACTGATAGTTCATCAGTCGTAAAAACAAAAACTTTTGGCAATTTCAGGCGAGTTCATCAGTCGACTGATAAAATTCATCAGTCGACTGATAACAGTTTATCAATGTAAAATGAACAGAAAAATTGAATTTCAAACATCTTTTTAAAAATAGCAAATAAATTAAAAAATGTAAAACTTTGGGAAAAATTTATAAACATGAATATGAATATGTTGGAAAATGAATTTTTCAAATTTCTCTTACCATTTGTGAAAACTCGGTAATATTCAAAACACTGAAATACATGTGTATATAAACATGTTAATTTTGTTTTTTTAGCTCAAAACAAGTTTTGAAAACTTGTGTAATGTTTTTATGGACTTAATAAAAGATTTTTTATAATGTTTATATAGTCCAAAACATATTAAATTGTATTTTACATAAAAACACCTATGTTTTGAGAAAATTCACAAATATATGTGTGTGTAAAATTGAGCTTGTAGAATTTGCACACATTATATATAAAATATGTACTAAGTATACCAAGAGGATATCATATGAAGCTTGATCTTGATAGACTTGATTTGCACAGGCTTCAATATCAGTGTAGCTCATTTTCCTGGGTATACAAACCAAAAATACTAAAACCAATATTAGTTGTATATTGTTTGTTAAATCATCATCAAAATAAGAAGGCCAACAGTATCATGCTATACTTACAGGATAACATGCTATACTTACAGTGTATCATGTTATACTTACAGGATTTCATGCTATACTTACATGATTTCATGCTATACTTACAGCGTATCATGCTATACTTGCAGGATATCATGCTATACTTACAGCGTATCATGCTATACTTATAGGATTTCATATTATACTTACAGCATATCATGCTATACTTGCAGGATATCATGCTATACTTATAGGATGTCACTGGCAGCTACTTGATTACCTCAAAATCAGCTTACAAACCTTTGAGCTTTCAGCTTACAAGACAAAAACACGAGCCTTGGAATTAAATTATTTCAACTCTCATCAACCAACACATAATAGCATGTTATACATAACACTATTGAGAACATAACTTTCATAATAGCAATACTCATCAACCAGCATATAATAGCACCAAGCACATATCACAAGCACATAACACTACTGAGAATAACTTTCATAATCTACTTTCAGTGTAACAAACTGAGAACAATACTTTACAGATTAATTTCCAAACATATATTCTCCCAACATCTTCAACACCAAAAGAGATCAATTTTCCTCCAATTTTAAAACTACTTTTTTCAACATCAAATACTTCCAACAAACAATCCACTAGAAGTGGTTGCATTGGAACATCTGGAACATCTAAATAGCCATAGAATGGAGTATCTCGAAGGGTTGTTCGTTGATCCTCCGACAAAGCAGTAGAAATACGATTTTGAAGAAGGTCCCAGAAGTACCCAACGTTGGATGAAATTCTCACTAAAGCCATATGTACGATTTTCTGCAAGCAAAGTAAAATATAAGCCAACTTTAGTTGTCTATCAATATTATACATTTTTTTCTTTATTAAAACAAATTTCAAAGACTGTAAACAAACTGGCTTTGTTGCTGCCTGCAAACGATTAGAACGGTATACAAGTGTATTTGCATGCAAACACAAAAATAGTCAGACTTAAATCAATAACAATCAAAAAGAACTTCCATATTACTTGGATAACACCAATCAAAAAGAACTTCCTTCTTCACCTTAAACAATGTAACTTACTAATTGCGCATCTTAAGAATTGTTTTGCGGGCAAAAGAGGAGGGAGAGCCATTGTCTTCCATTTAGTTGTTCTCGGCATGGCAGGGTCTTTTTTGGGTCTTATATATTTTCAGAAACCGTTATTAAGATTTTTTTTTTCCCTAAGTTACGATTAGAGAATTTGGACTTGAGGAAACCATTGCGTTTTCTCTTAATGATACTAATGCATTTAAAAAGTTGAAGCTAATCTGTCAGCGGTTAGAAATGCGAGGTTGCATAATGGGTGGCCTCAGGTTTGTCTGAATAAAACATATTTTATATATTCAAGAATTTATATAAACATGTATTCTTGTGAACATATTTATCAACAAGCTAAAACATGTGGAAACCTAAAGTTAAAGGCCACAGACAGCAGATCTCAAGAAGGCATGTGGCTTGTTTTGATGCTCAATGTCCTGCTCTGTTGCAGGAGTTAGAACTAGAGTAAATTGCAGATAGACCCCTGTACCGTCGCTGAATTGCGGGTGAAGCCTGTAGTTCTGTTGTTGCAAATAGGTCCCTTGAATGAAACGTTTTGACTCTTTCACCCTCATAGCGGGAATCTTTTTTTTTTTAAAAGTAAATAGTACATAGTTCAGTTCACATGTGCTTTGATTGTAAGAAGCTAAAAGCCAGAGAACAGCACGATGTGAGTTGAAAGAGCTCAGCAGAGTATGATCGTTTTTGAAGATCACGGGCTCTTTGGCTCTTTTATCGGAGTGGAAAGGACACTCACGCGCACAATTTAGATGAGATCAAGGTTCTTCACCATCTACCCCAAGATCAGGCTATAAATGGTCATGCTTCTCCATCCAAAATTTTCATCTCTTATTTCGTTTTATGTTAGTTTCAGATCCAAGTGAGAAAAGAGAATGGTGTTTTGGCTTTCAAACTAGAGTATGAAATCTTCTAAATCTTTTATGTTGTTTATTTATTGCATTGCAGTGAATTCTAATTACTTAGCTATTTATTTATTCTTGCGGGAGAAGCTTGTTGTTCATGACCTTCTAAAGCTACGGTTGCCGTTCGTGACCTTCTAAAGCTACACCACGGATTAGGTGGCATCGGAAAAGGGAATCTTGAAGTCATTAGAGGCTATACAAGTCTACAGCGAAAACAGAGTTAAATCATTTGCGTCTTAGTTCTGTTATTACTCTGATATTAAATATTTTGGCAGGGATCTTAACTTTAACTAAATGGTTTCTTTTGATTGACTGATCTAAATTTAGTCTTCTGATGGAGAAGTCGAGGAGGATTATGAAGCGGATTATGATGAAGATGAGGGAGAGAGGAGGATGAAGGTGAAGAGGAGGAGGAGGAGGAGCTGAACCAAGAAGAAGGAGAAGCCGAGGAGGATTATGAAGCGGATTATGAAGACGAGGGAGAGGAGGATGAAGGTGAGTGAGAGGAGGGTGAAGAGGAAGAGCTTGAGCAGGAGGACGAAAATGTGCTTCTTGAGGAGGAGGAGGAGGAGGAGGAGGACCAAGCAGAGCACTGATCAGTGAGTACGAGGACGAAAATGTGCTTCTTGAGGAGGAGGAGGAGGAGGAGGAGGAGGAGGAGGAAGCAAAGCACTGATTGGTGAGTACCGTTCTTGATAAATTTCTGACTTAGAATCTTGAGAGTTCAATCTCTGGTTAGCAATTTTTCTGTCATGATCCGATTATTCTTTTGACTCGATTAGGATCTTTTAAAAAAATTCACTTTTTTAGGGATTTTCTATGAGAGTGGGCATCCCCTCTTGGCTCGTGCCCATACAATTTAATAATCACACGACCATGATCATATTTTGAGACGATGATTGCTCTCTTAGATGTCCTATTTACAACAATGACCTGTGTAATCACCTCCTGAACTTCTTGATGCAACAAAAACCAGTGTAAAATCAGTATTAGCAATCGATGTTAAGGTCTCCTACTGGCTATCATTAGCAAAGTTTTCAAACCTACACCATTTTACTTTAACCCGCATTGCTACATTGATTCTTTGACAAGGTGTAAGATACGTATCAAATGCGATTCCCGTGAGTGATTTATCCCTCCTATTTTAAACATCCAGCACATAAAGCTAATCTCGTCATTTTTGCATGTTTTCCCAACATTTCCTGAGTCAGTGTTTTAATCATTCTTTCAAAAAATAAAAATAAAAATCCTAGTCTAGATATCATTAGTCTGATCTTTTTATCCGTTGAAATTTCAAAGAATATGAAAAGTCTTCTTCAATAAAATTACCAAGTCCTAGGCATAAATGTCAATCCAACTCTGCTTCTACACTTCCATTAACCTAACTTAGATCACTGATGCTTACTTTGATAACACAAGTAAATGACAAACCCAAAAGCATTAAAAAAAATTAATTACAAAATGAAGCAAAACTTAATTCCAATCTTACTTATTAGCATAAGTTTGTGACTCGATAACTAATTTTATCTGTGACTTCATTACTGACATTAGTCATGGGAAAATATTGTCTTTGAGAATGATGAAAATGATATGAAACATGATTGAAAGTATCATGCATTAGTAACAATTAAAAATTAATACTAGTTATTATTTGGTTCGAAATTTTAGGTAATTTTTTTAACCTGGTGTACTTCCAATGAGTGATTTTTCAGAATTACAGCCAGTAACATTTGAAATAGTTATGTTTTGGTTGGAAAGCACACCCATCGTAGTTTCATATAATCTATTTGTGGAACCTCTAATGATAAATGGCTTGAAGAAGACTAAATTTAGATCAGTCAATCAAAAGAAACCATTTAGTTAAAGTTAAGATCTCTGCCAAAATCTTTAATATCAGAGTAATAACAGAATTAAGACGCAAATGATTTAAACAGTCAATCCACCGATAAGACAGATACAAGCATACAGGCAATCGGCTAAAACATTAAGTCAGATCAAGAAACTCCCAAAGCACTAACCAAGCATGAACAACCCTATGGAACATGTTAACTATTTACAAGTAAATTCGCAATATAAATGCAAGCCAAATCATAAATTCAATTTATCGAAAACATAACATGCTGGATTTATAAGGTCCACGGGAATCGCATTTGATACGTATCTTGCACCTTGTCAAAGAATCAATGTAGCAATGCGGGTTAAAGTAAAATGGTGTAGGTTTGAAAACTTTGCTAATGATAGCCAGTAGGAGACCTTAACATCGATTGCTAGTACTGATTTTACACTGGTTTTTGTTGCATCAAGAAGTTCAAGAGGTGATTACACAGGTCATTGTTATAAATAAGACATCTAAGAGAGCAATCATCGTCTCAAAATATGATCATGGTCGTGCGATTTTTAAATTGTATGGGCAGGAGCCAAGAGGGGATGCCTACTCTCATAGAAAATCCCTAAAAAAGTGAATTTTTTTTAAAGATCCTAATCGAGACAAAAGAATAATCGGAGCATGACAGAAAAATTGGTAACCAGAGATTGAACTCTCAAGATTCCAAGTCAGAAATTTATCAAGAATGGTACTCACCGATCAGTGCTCTGCTTCGTCATCGTCCTCCTCCTCCTCCTCCTCCTCCTCAAGAAGCACATTTCCGTCCTCCTGCTCAAGCTCTTCATCTTCACCCTCCTCTCCCTCACCTTTGTTGGAAATTATAGTTAAATCTAGAAGTAAACAGTGATGGATGACGTGCTGTTATTTTAAATTTTTTAATTAACTGCTGTGCATTTGTGAAACGTTGTGCTTAAAGTAATATTTGGCCTACTCCGGTGCAAGGATCCTGATGCGGCATAAACATGTACCAAAAATATTGTAAGTGCACAACCGTGTCAAGTTATAGTATAAAAAGTTATCGATACCACGAGGAAGATGTTTTGTAGGAGAAGATATAAATCGGTTCTTATGTTGTGTGCGTGACAAATAGGAGTAAAGAATAAGTGTGATTGTGGAGAGATAATAAGAGTGAAAGTGATAGTGTGTAAATCGGCACAAAATGTAAGTGTTCGTAGATGTGACAAATAATGAATGATTTTCACAAGGAGAAAAAAAAAGATGAATAAAATCAAGAATCAAAAAGAAAAATCAAGAATAAAAAGAAAATTCAAGAAAGTAAAGATGGCGAATTCAATTAAAAATATGGATAATCTAGAATTGAATCCACTTCTTAGAAAAAGATGATTCTCTAGAGGGTTCTAGCCTAAAGGCGAATCAAAGAAAATAAAAATGAACAAAAAGAAAAACTAAACCCAAGAGGGTTCTAGCCTCAAGGTGAATAGTGTAAGAAAATAAAATGGCGATTCCCTAAAGGGTTCTAGCCTAAAGGCGAATCAAAGAAAATAAAATTAAACAAAAAGAAAAACTAAACCCAAGAGGGTTCTAGCCTCAAGGTGAATAGTATAAAAAATTAAAATCTAACTATAAAATAAATTACAAAAATCTAAACTACAAAATAAATTATAAGAATTAAATACAAGAAAATAAATCTACTCTATAAACATGAAATAAATCTAAGGCAAGAGGGTTCTAGCATCTTGGTTATTTAACAAGAAAATAAAATCTAACTACAAACATAGAAATAAATCTAAACTAATAAGCAATAAAAGAAATAAAAGAGAAAAATAAAAGAAATACAAACCTCCAAGTAATTCTTCATCTCCATCTTCATCATCCAACAAAGAGAAGAAATATTTAAAGTGATGAAAAAATTATTTTATTAATTGTAACAAAAGTTACAAATTTAGAAGGTCTTCTCAATTAAAAGTGGCACTCCTCTCCAAATTGAGTTATAAAAATTTTCACACTCTCAACCCCTCACTCTCTACCCCTATTTATGGTAAACACCAGTGAATGAGAACCATTGGATTGAAATATTATCCAAAACAAGTAAATTTTAGCCATTGATCTGTAACAGAACGACGTAGGTATCGATACCAGCATTGATGCTGGTATCGATACGGGTATCGATGCTGCCATCGATGCTGGCATCGATACCCATATGCCTCCTTTTGCAATCAGCTAATTTTCTCTTTCATTTGGCTTTGGCTTTGGGATTTTGGACTTGGGCTTGGGCTCTTTCAGGTATTTGCATATATTCTTTATTAATTCATGAGCTTTATTGAAAGAAGAGATATTGGGCTTTTTATTTTTGATTAACCTGCAATTAAAGATAAAAATAATTATTAGTGGCATATTTATTCATATAAAATAGATAATAAAGGTATAAAATTGTAATAAAATATGATTATCAAATACCCCCACACCTAAACTTTTGCCAGTCCTCTAGCAAAGAAAGAAAAAGAAAAAAAAGCCGAACTCACTTTCGTAGGAATCACGGTTGTATTTAGCGCATACCACAAGCCTTTAAACCCCTAGATTACCCTAGTGGACGAGTTATAGTATCGTAAGGGTTTGCAGTGAATATACCACAAAATTCGGTCAACTTGCTAAATTAAAGAAGTCAGTGAATAACTAAATTCACTTGATAACTTTAGACAATCTAATTGAAGCTAGTTATCACTCAAGAAAACGTTTTTATATATAACTCTAAGATAAATTTTCTAGAAAATCTTCTCATTATAGAAATACAAAATCAAGCCAAACTTAGAAATTTAATTTAAAAGTTTTGAAAAGAACATGCTAACTCTTTGTTTAAAATAATATTCAAGTTGCTTGATCTAAAATATTTTTTAAGACCATATATACAAATATAACTATATATATAAAACATTTATTAGTATTTTTATTTTTTTAATATTTTTTATATTATTATTATTTTTTTAATTCTTTTTTTCTTGGTGATTTTTTCTACTTTAACGGGCTTTCTAAGCGACCATTTAATGAGTTTTGGGTCAATGGATCCTAACCCAATTGGGCTTAGGTCATTAAGTATGGAATACTCCTTGGGCTTAATTACTCGGTCAGCTTAGACTTTATAAGATAGAATCACCTTGAATTTAAGAGTTTTTTTCTTTCTTTCTTTCTTTTTTTTCCTTTTGGTGCCCATTTTTCTCACTCTTCTTTTACAATTTTTTTATATGTATCTGTATATATATTCTGAAAAATATGTAAGTCAAGACACTTTGAAAAATTATTTTTAACTCTAAGCTAAGCATGTATAAATTCCATTATTTTAAATAAAAATCTAAGTTAAGGCTTAAGTAAAGTATACTACTTTGAAAATCATTTCTTAAGAAATTTATTTAGAGTTATAATAAAAGGTAAACTTGAGTAAATAACAAACTAGATATTAGAAAATTTAAAATTTATTAAATAAATCAATTATTACATAACTCTATCAATTTGGCAAGTGATGATTTTTTTATAATTTTTTTAAGGAAAAGGGAAAAAATGATAAAAATACAACTAAAAATGTAAAATAAAGAGAAAAAAATAACTAATTCCCACCCCCACACCTAAATTTCGCATTGTCCTCAATGCAAACTCTATGATACACAAAGAAAAGCAGATAAGAAGTAAAGTACTTATATTTGATCAGTTGATAAAAATCTGTAATTACATTTGGTCTGAGGAGGATAGAATCAAAAAATTATTTTTCATCTTTCTTTTTTATTCTTTTTTTCTTTTTTTTTTACAACTGAATGAGAAACTTTCGAATGAGAGAAGAATAAATTCTTTTTATTATTCTGAAATAAAATAAAACAAACAATATAGAATAAAAGGTTCAATATGAAGAGCTCATGTTCTACATTGAATCCTACCATATTGCTGAAAATTCTTCCTCGGGTTTTAAACAAATTCAAAATGATATAATCAACATTGTGCTGAAATTCTAAGCATATCAGGGTGTTCAATAATTCTTGCAACAAAGTAAGGTATGTATTATTGGTGTCATGCATTTTACATTTCTTAATAAACTTAAACTCTTGTACTGTGAATTTTTGTTTTCTAACAACCAATTCTTCTGTAGCATTTTCCTCAACCCCAAGATTCATGGTTGAGTTCTGAAAAATTTGGTTGTTGATTATTCTCTAAGAATCTAAGTTCATCAAGAAAGAGTTCTTCAAAATTTAATTCAAGGCAGCAAATATTTAACACAGTTTCATCATTCTCAATGACCTGATCTGATTCTTCTAAAAACTCCAACTCTTTATCAAAAATTTCCTCAAAACTTGGATCTTACTCTTCTTCGTCTTCCTCTGGTCTTTCCTGAATTAAGTTATGAATTAGAACAAGAATTTGGCTTAAAGGTGTTCTTTCCTGACTATCGACCTGTTTTCCTGACTGTAGTGTATTCATTTGAGTGTCCTTAGGATTGACAACGGGTTGACTCAGAATTTCTCCTTCCTCTCCTTCACTTATGGCACTAGCTAGTTGATCAATGTGAGTTTCTAATCTAGCTATGTCTTGAGTGTTAGAGTTAAGTATGAGTTCCGTTGATTGCATAAAGGAGTTCATCGTGTAGGATGTTTGAGTTAACATATATCCATGGCTAGTGTGGAGGCCTTAATTATGATTTTAAAACCATTTTTCAAAATATTAGAACGTTCATCATGATCTGTATCAAGAGGAGTGTGAGTTACAACTTGATGATGAGGAGATTGATTTTGATGTGACAGACTGAGTTGTTGAAATTGTAGATGAGAATTGAAAGGAACTGTATTTCCCCTAGGAAAATGTTAGGTTGAAGAGGGAGTGAAGTTTTAAGTTCCGGAGTGGTTTCCCTGATTCCATACAATGTTTTTGTAACTTTCCCAACCTGGGTTGTAGGTTAGAAAAAATGGATCATTCACCGAATACTGAGATGTGGTCTATACAAACTCCCGAGCTTCATTGGGGATTTCAATCCTATTGGGATAACATAAATTTTGAAAACATGCGGATTAGCCATTTGTTCAAAATGAATTTGTCGATGTGTATTGTCCCTAATCCACATTTTGCATGCACCAAAACAATTTCTTTTTATACTTTTTTTTAAAGAAAAAAATAAAAGTTAGTTTTTTTGAAGAAAAAGGAAAAATAAATAAAAAACAATCACTTTTCAATCATGCTAACTCTAGGGTTAAGCCTAACTCAGCTAGACCAGCTCCTAACCAAAAATTCCTTAAGTGAAAAGATAAAAGTTTTACTCGATTAGTTAGCCGGGTAAGGATAGGAACAATGGTTGATCAGAGATCGATTAAGTACCTCATTCCTTGTAGAGCGCTTTACGCAACCCTTAAACCTTACCTTAGACACCAACTAATCCAAAAAAAATTAAATCGGTTTACCTAAAGATTCTTTGTTCCTTATTGAGCTCGATTCCTTATGGACAACGTCTAATGAGTTTTATTAGGCTTGAGTTGTGTAGTAAGGAATTTGTGATTTTTGGGCTAAGGAAAGGGTGATGAAATCCCTCACCTTATCTTGATTATGGGGTTTTATCCTTAAAAATATTTTCAAGTGTGTGCAAAACCAAGATGCTCAAATCATTTTGGTTAATTCCTATTAACTATATGAAATGCAACCCTAGGAATTAAAAGTGACTAAAAATGATGGTAGAAAGAAATTTTTTTTTAGGGTTAACAATCAGACAAATGAGAAGGGAGAAAATTGTTTGGATTTATTATCTTGTTAGTCAATGTCAAAGTGGATGGTGAATTTTATTATGGTCAATGAAAATAAAATCTTTTTTTTAGATCCTAATTGTCACTAATTGTGAGAAACTAACTAAATGTGTGGAATTGAAAATATTTGGAAGAAGACTTACCACAAGCGAATCTCCAATTCCTCAATCTCCAATTCTTGATCTTTAATCTCCAAGTAGTTCTTTCACAAG